ATAGCTTTTTTAAATATAAAATACAACAAATGCTATAAAACGCATACTAAAACGTAATAATTAAAAAAAATACTTATATAGCAATATATAAATAAACTCAAGACAATTAAGAAATCAAATATAAATAAATAAAAATGATATTTTATTTTTTAATAACGACCATGTTATCCATAAAAATATTATTTGTTAGTGTGTTTATTATATTTTGAATTCATGAACAAACATTTTTGTTTAAAAGTGTTCAATTTATCATTTAGGAACCAGTTTCTAAAGTATAATCATGAAGTGCGCTACAAGCTGATAAACGACTTCTACATCTATAATAATGGAAATTAAAAAAATAAACAAACAAATATTTCTTCCATGTTTTCTATTTTTTTTCTAATTCATTATCGGTAATCATTTCGAGTGGTTTTCTAAAAAAAAAAATATGTGATTTACGATATCTATTTTTATGGAAATGAGTTTCCAAATAATAAAACAAATCCAAACAGAAGAGAAAATACTTTCTTATTCGACTATGTTTTGCGATAACAATCGATAAAGCTTAGGAACAAACAATTTCAAACGTAGGTATGTATCTACCAGAATCAGTATTCTCACACGGACAACTTTATGTAGCATTTTCCAAAGAAACATTACGTGACAATACAAGGTATTAGTGAATCATGAAAAAAAGTTCAATCATAACGAAGTCTATATAACTCAAATGTAGTGTAAAAAGAAGTATTGCGTGATTAATATTGTACAATCAACAATTAGTAATTATATTTACATTGTTTTGAGTTTATTTTTAAGTTAGTATAATCTGATGATTAAAATTAAAAAAGTTGTTATTGAAAATCTTAATAAGTTTTTGAAAAATATACATAAATGGTCCATGTGGTTTTTCATATTATTGGTTTTCGTCTTTAACTTTTTTTTTGTTACAGTCCACATAGTTTTCGTCCCAAAAAGAAGCTAATAGCCGAAAAAAACTATTCGCCGCCGCCGCTTTGCGCGGGTAACGACTAGTATATATATATATATATATATATATATATATATATATATATATATATATATATATATTATGAATATGAATTTGGTTGAAACATTAAATTTTATTAGTAATTTATCCAAATCTAGTTTAAACTACAAATTTATTTTTCTACATAAATTTTAAGACTTTTTAAATAATTTTTTACAACTTTTTTTGAAATTTTTTCTTAATTTTTGTAAAAGTCTTTAACAACTTTTTATAGAGAAATTTACAACTTGTTATACTTATTTACTAAAAACAAAGGTTGATGTATATTTTTTTAATACAACATTTTAAAATTGGATTACAACCTTTTAACTTTTTAATAAAAATGTTACATTCTCATACTTGGGTCATACAATTTTTACATATCATACGTTTTAACTAAAAGGTTTAAAAACAATTATATGAAAATTGTATCAAAGTTATAAATAAATTTTTTTACTTAAAACATATAAATAAGTTATAATTTTTTGAAAAGATTTGCAAACTATTTTTGTTTAAAAACGGTTGTATTAGAATTGTATTAGAGTATAAAAAAATTAAAAAGTTATAATCCAAGTTTAAAACATCATATTAAAAAAATATATAAAACAAGTTCATAACTTTTTTTATAAATAATTATAACTAATAGTAAACCAAATTATAAAAGTTACAAAATATGTTTTTTAAAGTTGTAATAAAAATTAAGAAAAAAATCTTAAAAACGTTGTAAAAACTTCTTAAAAAAGCTGTAGAAAAATATTTTTGTATTGGACTATATTAAAAAGAAAAGTTAATGATTTGTAAGGGTAACCAACTTGTATAATTATAGATATTTTTTATTTAGTCATGAAACTTTTTGTATGCGATCTACCTTTCAACTTGTTCAAATTGTCAAAATAAAATACCTATACAACTGGTATACAAAAATTTTACTGATAAAATATATGAATTATAAAAGTTGGTTACCCTTACAAGTCATTATCATTTTACCTGTTTGAACTTTGTGTCGTTAGTGTTTGTAGCTTTCAAATGAATTGGATTCAGCTATTTGAGTTTATACACAACTGTTACGAGACGAGTTTTTTTTTTTTTTTTTGAATGGTAAATACAATATATTCATAAACTACTCCTAAATCCACCTATGTCTCAATGTCTCAAACGAGACTTGAACCCTCAACTTCAAGGAAGAAAGACAACACCTGATACCACTAGTTTAATAACCCTTTGGTTGTTACAAGACGAGTAATTGAATAACAAAGAACTTTCCTTATTTTAAATGGTAGTTTCCAGAACCTAGAAAAGGGATAATAAAACAACAAATGACTTATTAGTTTTTCGGTCACAACTACAACTACTTAAGAGTCTTTGACAATTACCAAATAGCTTTTTAAAACTTTTTTTTCCACAAAGTTTCTTTGAAATGTCATATTATCTGATTATCATCAATCTTTTTAATTTTTGAGATAAGATTACTATAACACCCTTCATTTTAACTGTTCAGCCTCACATTTTCTTTCCCTTTCCCTTTTTTGTCATTAAGATTGGTTGATCTTTAAGCTTTTAGTCTAAAAATGTTTTTTTTTTTTTGAATTCACTGTTCAGTAACGTTTTTAGTCGTCCTTTCCTTTCATCAGTTAAGTGTTTCAACAATGATCTTTACCATATGGAATCCTGAATAAACAATGCACTAAAATATGATTAAATCTTGCGAAAAGAGTAACTTAAAATAACAACATGCGATTAACTAAAAGGTTAACAGAGTCTCACGAAGCATAAAAATATACTTGGACTCGATGCATCAGACAGGAACTAGAAACATAAAATGGCATGAAGGCGTTTCAACAGTTTCTCTGTATCTATGCATTTGTATAAGTAGAGAAGTAGAGAATAAAGATAATAAATAGATCCTTCTAAAAACCTAAATCAGTGCATAGTTGATCGTGGTGCACGTGGGCGAACTGGTGTCTTTGAAGGGCTCACCCTGCATTTTATAAATTAAAAAAAAAAATCAACCCAAATTAGAAACCATTAATTAATTTTAGTTTCTCAAATGAAGAAAATGGAAAGTTACTAAACAACCACACCACCTTATTGGCAAGGATCCCAACACCGCACCACTGCAGTTCAGAGCTGCAATTGCACTTTCAGCCTGTAAGAAATATCAACATGCTTTTATTTATTCCTGTAGTTAGAGAATTGTATATTTGAAAATCTACCCAATTATAGCAGTGTCAGTGTCAGTATCAGTGTTAGTGTTAGTGTTAGTGTCCAAATACAAGCAATTCCAAGGATTATGTTCTAATAAGAGAAAACATGAACATATAACGCTATAGTTGGCTAGATTTTTCAAAGTACAATGTCATAATCTGACCCTCAAACTAGGCTTAACTAATACATAGTAATATGCAAAGTTAAACCTGAATACAAATTTATACAAACATGTATACACTTACATATCCCATGAATATATCACACTTTGAGCAATAAAAACCAGCTTAAAATGGTCAAAGAAAACTTACCATCACAAACTCAACGAATGCAATACGAGTGGAATGATTATAGTCCCCAAGCAACCTCAAGCGGTAAACCTAAAAACAATAAATTCCAGTATTGTTACAAATTCAAGAAACATCAGTTTTTATATATTTATTTTTTAGAAATAAAAAGCCACAAACCTCGCCACATAGTGTTTCAAAAAAGAGTTTGACATCTGCTTGAGTGACCTTCTTATCAATGTTAGTACAGTAAATGGTTCTTGCACACATTTCCCTCTCGTCTTCAGACTACAACAACACACAAACTAAGTACAAGCACTGAGGCACATGGTACACATTTTACAGCTTCAAAAAGTCACCTGGGGTAAAAAAGTTGGATTCACTGGTGCAATCGCTGTTTTTGAAGGCAAAACCCTAACAGGATAGTACCCAAGCATAGTTCCACCAAGAGACAATGCATTCCTTGCACCTTCTGCTATTAAAGAATATTAACTATTACTACAACACAACACATTAAAAATCAAAAATCAAAAATCAAAACTTTTTAGGCTAATAGTAAAGGTTAAGAATTTGCATACCCTCATCAGTAAATTCTATGAAGGCAAAATGAAGAACAGAATTTGGGTCACCACATACACGACAATCCACAACCTGTCCACAGTTAACAAAGAGAGCTGCAAGCTGTTCTTCGGTCACCTGAAGAATTTGTAAAATAGTTGAAAAGCAGGGTTTAATAATCAGTGAAACAGCAAAATCCCAGAAATATAAATGAGATTCTACAGTGATTGTACATTTATACATAATTCTTTACCTGTTGATCGATGTCAGACACATAAACTGTTCTCTTGATCACATCATCTCTTTGTGCCATACTAGTACGGCTGTTGATTCTTCTCTTACCACTGAAATTACCCTTCTGATTACAACAATCAGAAACCCCCAAAAATCAGCAAAAGAGAAAAGGAAATCAAGGAATTAAGATGACAAAAAGGGGAAATCGAAATCGTTGTACCCTTCTAGTGGTGGTGGGAGTGCCATTAGCGAAAGCAGCGGTGTTAGTGTGGACTAAGAAATTGTTAACAGCGGCATAACCAAATTGGGGAGGAGATGATGGCAGGAGTCGAAGTCTTTGATGGGGGACAAATTCTTCAGCCATAGGGTTAAGTTTTGACAGCATTTCTTCCAAATCGCTCATTTCTTTCTTAAACCCATCTCCACCATCATCATCGCCGACATAACCATTGCCGTTGATGTTGCCGTTGGTGGTCGACGGCGGCTGTAGTGACGTCACCTTCTGTAGCTGCTGCTGTTGCTGGTGGTGATGCTGGTGGTAATCGTTTGATCGGTAAGACATGGTGGAAACAGGGTTACGGTTGTTGTTGTTGTTGGTATAGGATGATTTTGTTGACTGATCGACATCTGAGGCTACAACGTTGATGCTATGAGCATTTTCAACAACAGCCATTTGATGTCTGATGGAATCAACGATTAAATCCTTTTTGAAAGTGGGGTTTCTGTTTGATCTGGGTAGTGACCGATTCCGATATCCCTTCTGGTAAAAACAACAACAGTGTCGCTGTTCAATTCTAAATACTACCAATCAGAATCTGGAAATTTAATAATAAAAAGAAGAAAAAAGGACTGAAATTTCCATTTTGGAGAAAGAAACGTACCTGGAATTGAGCTTAAAGATTGCACATTAACCAAGAATCAAACCAAACCCATCTCTCTATTTCTCTCTCTGAAATCTTCAGACCATAAAATAAAGGATCAAAATCAAAAACCCACAGATAACAGAGGCGAAAGTGGTGAAATTTTAAGAAATTACCCAACTAATTATATAATCTTTTGCAGTAGTAAAATAAAGATGGATGAATATTTATAGAAGTATTGGGAGAGAGAGTGTTACAGAAAGAGAGAGAGAGAGAGAGAGAGAGAGAGAGAGAGAGAGAGAGATTGATTTGTCCGTCAATGTTGAGAAATGAAGCCATCAGAACAAGCATTCAATGTAGCACAACAACAACCTTTTTCCTTTTCCTTTTTCTTAATTTTATTTTCTTTTTCGGGTATTTAATATTTCTATTTCTTGGTGCATAATATGACAAAATTTGTGGGGTGTCTACCCTTTTGGTCCCATCTTAATCATGGAAAACTTATTTAAAACATCCTTAACAATTTTTCTTAGTGTAAAAGTAAAACTTTATAGTTAAATATGAATACATAAATGTTATTTAAAAACTATTAAGTTAATTTATCAATAATAAAATAATAATTTTATATTAATAACAAATAATGTTAAATTATGATAATCTTGAACCAGATCATCATAGTAAAAGATTAGAAAGTTATTATTAGTTATACTTGAAACGAATTCAAAAAATAAAACTGAAATTAATATATGTAACATCTCAAAAATTTCAACAAATTGTAACTTTTTAAAACAACTCATTTACTAAAGCGTTAATTACAAAAACCATTGTTTCCAAAAGATCATTTAAAATCGGAATCGTTTACAAGGTAGTTTTCAAAACATTTTCATATCAGAGTTTCCCATAAATCATAAGTCTCAAAATCACGAGGATGTGTACGGTCACGCCTTCACATTGTCACGATCCACTGAAGTACCTGAAACCATAAACCAAAATAGTAAGCACGAAGCTTAGTGAGTTTCCCCAAAAGTACTCACACAAACAATTAACACATATACAATAACAGCATGCAATGGGTCCACAGCTAAAATACTGGATTACCCTTGAGCCCACAATATGAGTTTGGTTTGCCTATCGGGCCCACAACTCATATCTGGCTTGCTCCTGAGCCCACAACATAAGTCTGACTTGCTTCCGGGGCCCACAACTTATGTCTGGCTTGCTCCCTAGCCTAATCAGTCATTAGACTGGCACATAAATGTTCAGCCCTCAGTACGAGTCTGGCATACCATCGGTCCTCAGCTCATACCTGGAATGCTTTTGAGCCCTCAGTATGAGTATGGCATGCCCTACCCGGCCCTCAGCTCATATCTGAATTTATCCAATACCCTCAAGCCCTCAGTACGAGTCTGGCATACCACCGGGTCCTCAACTCGTATTTGGAATGCTACTAAGCCCTTAGTATTAGTCTGGCATCCTTACCCGGCCCTCAGCTTATATCTGTAATGCTCCATGGTTTGTTGGATATAGCACGAAGCAGTACAACCTCAACCCAACACAATATACCGACAGATAACAAACATATACAGATAATCGTGCAGACAGAATCATAGGTAGTCCTACAGATCTACCATACTAGCATATCAAAATTAGCATGCATATCTATCCCATACCCAGCATATCAACAATATCAGGTTATCAAACCAATGGGTCAGTCTTGGACGTTCTCTCCTCCCATCCTCTCCTCTCCCTACCGGTCGCCGAATATAACTCTTCTTTGCCGTTCTGGTT